TCATTATGACATTTTTACTTAGATAATCCAATAACATTATTAATTTGCAATATTCTTAATATCATTAGTTATTTTTTGCATATAACATTAGCTTCTTCATGCACCGTCAAAATCTTAAGATCTTTAATCTTATTCTAAAAAAATATTTTTATTAGCGTCCTTTAAATACCTCGATCTAATTCTAAGATAATATTTTATTTTATTTTTTATTTCATCTTAAAATTTAAAAACTAATAAATGATATTGAATAGATAAACTTTCACTCGGAATAATTTATAATATTTGTAATCTAAGTAATCTATTTTTTTTATAAGAAAATAATCAATTTGATTCTTAGTATATATATTCTTATAAGTGATAAGATACTTCTCTCTTTTCTTAAATAGGATATTAGCAACTACAAAATCATAAGTTATAGCAATTTCTGATATGATCTTATCACCTTCATTAGTCGCTTTAAACTCATAACTACTATGAAAAGCTTTTAAAATATTATCCTCTAACAATTTTTTTTAGGAGATATATATCATTTGTATTAATTCTTTTAAGTCAATCCAAAGTTTTAATTTTGAATACATATATAAATCTACTCGAGGAGCATAAACACATATAATATTAATAATGTTTGCATCAATAGCAATCTTTAAAGTTATAATTATATATGTAATTCTATTAATTTTTATAATGTTATCTTTCAAACTATTATTTATAATCATACCTACATCATTTCTAGTACGAATACTCCTACCTGAATACCAAAGTTTAAATATTAAATTATTAATATCTTGTGCTTTCTCTCAAACACATTTAGTTTTTTGAATACATAGAATATTTATCTTCCAATAAATCATAATATCCATTACTTATATTAATTTACCAATTTGAGAACTTATATTCCAAGATCTATCTTAATTATATTTTTTTGGACTAGCTTCTTTACCCACATTTGTCAATGATGTAAGAACCATTTCTATTTATGGCTTGTGACTTAGCAACGACAAATTTAATTAGTAACCAAGAAAACTCATTTAATTAAAATAAATACTATTATTTGTATAATTTTTTTTTCTGTATTTCAAAATAGAATCTTAACTTCATCAAAAAAAACAGTAAATAAAATAAGAATTTTACATTCTGTAAAATAATTTCTATAAGTAAATATCTTAACAAATTTAGCAATCACTCAAGAAAAATATTTATGATCTAATATAAGCATACCGCGTGATAAAAGATTATATTAAAAAAGCCTTTGTGAATATTTTGTATAATATTTTTTGAATAAATATTAATAATTTTTTATGTAACCCATTACTTACTCAGACAAACTGATCAATAAGAATCTTGTTAGCACATTGACCAAAAATAATTTAATTATTGCATGCACATCTTGCTTTAAAAATCCAACTCATGCAATAATTCTTGAATTAATAATATAAATATGTTGAATTTTTCTTCCTGCACAAAAGGACTTTGACTTTGAGAAATGAATTCAAGTGAAGGAACAATTAGTCTATTAGTCTAATACTTTATTAATAATTTAATTTATTACATTGCAAAAAATAATATTTAATAATAAAAATTGTAATTAAAGAGAGAAATACAAAATTAATTTTATTTTATTAAGGTTGTATGCTTGTGTGCATATGTATATATACTTTGCATGTATGTTTAAACTGTATATGTATGTAAGATAATAATAATAATAATAATAATAATAGGATAATGATATATAATTTCTTTTATATAATAACAACTATCATTCAAATATTTTGAAAATAATAATTTAAATATTATTTATATGTTTGCTTGTTTCCATATTTGAGTGATTTATAATCTTATGCATTTGGTTGTTTGAACAATTATAAGTGTGAACTATGCAAACTCTTTGTTTATGCATGCGGGTTAATATTTGGCTTGCAGGTACGGTTATAATCGCATGAGTGCTTGTGTGTGGTGTTTGTGTGAGTTGTGTATGATCAATGTGAATATCATGCACGTTTGTTTAGAATTACATTATTCTAAAAATAGAGAAAGAGATTACAATAAATTACAAGAAAAAAAGTAATAAAATTTATACATAAACATACAATTAAAAGAGTGGACTACTAGTTTCTATTTTTTTGAGGGAGGGGGCTCCAATAATTTATACAAAATCTCAATTCTAAGATACTTTGATGAAAATCTAAACGCTCAATCAATAAACTAACAAAGGTTGCATTGTCCATTCCATTTATGTTGTAGAATCATCATAACAAACATATGTATTCTCTGTTGCATATTTGTCTTTCACTTTACTTATAGAAGATGGATATGTCAACTCCTCATCAATCTCCACGAAACCAACATAAAAATCTACACCTTGATGGGTATCATACTCTACCTCTATTTCACTAATAAAAGAATAATTAATTAACTCCTCATCAATTTTCATGAAATCACCATCCAAACAAGATACTCATCCTCACCCATCACATCTTGATGTTCTTCTCCTTTTTCCAACCATTTATTATAAACTTCTCTTCAAGTCATTCTTCATCGTCTTTCTCTTCTAATCATACTTTCTCTACATCGTTTACATCTTCTATATCAAAATCACATAAGTTGAAATCTTTTGGACTGATATGTGATTCCCATCCTCTCAGCTTCCCACTTGAGCCAAGCCACTATTGATGATGCTAACAAGAACCACGCATGCATGGCCCCCTAATCTATCCCCTTACCCATTTTCCTTTTTTAAGATTAATTTCTCTCATCTTTAGTACAGCCCATCAAGGCTTGATTCTCTTCTTCAATTTTACCCTATGAAAAGTGAGAAAAGTTATCTAGCAAAAATTTAAAAATCATTAGATATGACTAATGCCCATAGTCCCTTCAGTGAGGTTCTGATCTTTTCATAAAAAAGGTGTTGATTGTCCTTATAGGATGAACCAAATTTGAGGGCAATCAAAACTTTAAACCTATGATGATTCCCGGATCCTCTCCTCGTAGAAGCATTTATTGTCATCATTACACATAATAATTTAGAGGTGATCAAGACTTTCAGTCCCTACAACAAGGGTACCATCTTCATTGAAAGATGTGTTGATTATCCTCATTAGACATACTAGATTTGGAGATGATCAAGATATTTTTGTCCTAACGAGGCTTCAATCATCTCTTGAAAGAGGCATTGATTGTCCTTATTGGGCATGCAAGATTTAGAGGTGATCAATTTTTTCAATCATTCAATCCCCACTTGAAAGAGTCATCGATTGTCCTCATCAACAGGCAGACCAAATTTGGATATCAATAAAGCTTGCTTTTATAATTCTTCATAGGAGTTATATTCCATTATCAATTAGCAACTGACTTCACTCATGATGAATGATGGGTCATAGATCGTTACGGGTCGAATAATAACTAAAAGAAAAAATTGACCACGTCCTCAACCAATAAATGTTTGAAATAATGATTATGAGTTTTATTTTTTATATATATTTTTTAATTTCTTTTCTTAATTTAATTCATAAATAGGATTTTTTTTTTTACTTCAGCACTTATCATTTGTATATACTTAAACAAAATTTTCTTTTAATGCAAAAGAAAGTTCCATTATGATACACTAAATTTTTTAGATGGGCATGTGAGACTCATACTTAATTCAAGGACACATCATAATTGACGGCTAAAATTCAAGAAATCACAAGTGCAAAATTTATCAAAATTTTACCCTTGAATCAATTTATGGATTTTTTTTTTTGTGCTCAATGGGAGAGAGGGAGCGTGCTTCTATTCAAAAGTGTAAAAGATAAAAACCTTTGAAAAGATGGGAACAACGTATGTTATTGTAACGAAGGTGGCACAAAGGGAAGAACATGAGTTTTTCGGAGAAATTTTGGGTTGCATACTTGCATGGTGGTTGATATGGGAAATATGAAATCGTCATATCTAGGAGTTAAAATATGTATTTTTCATGCTAAGGGTGAATGGATTCATAGCTAATGTTTCAGTGATTCCAACGTGGGATGCAGAGGTAAAAAAAGAACTATGTAGATAGGGAAGTGGAATCTCCTTGTCTAAGCTCAAGTGAGAAGCTGGGAGGATGAGACTCGCAGATGACTTGAATAAGATTTTATCTCATGTGATTCAGATGCAAAAAATGTAAATGTGGAATAGATGAATGGATGGTAGACAAAGATGATGAAGAAAGGCTGGAAAAGCAATACTATGACAAATGACTAGAAGGAGAACAACATTAAGATGTGATGGATAAGGTATCTTCATCGGGTGGTGATTTTATGGAAATTGATGAGGAGTTAATTAATTCTTCTTTTATATAAATGAAATAGAGGTCAAGTATGGCACCCATCAAGAGGTAGATTCATATGGTGATTTCATGGACAATGATAACTAGTTGGCATATTCATCTTCTATAAGTGAATTGAAAGATTAATATGCAACACATGATACATATATTTGCTATGATGATTTTACAAACCAAATGAAATGGACAGCGCAACCTTTATTAGTTTGTTGATTGAGAGTTTAAATTTTCCATCAAAAGATTTTAGAATTAAGATTTTATATAAATTGCTAAAGTCCCCTCCCCCAAAAAATAAAAACTAATATTACACTCTTTTAATTGTATATTTTGTCTAATTTTTATTATTTTTTCTTGTAATTTATTGTTTTCTCTTTCTCTATTTTTAGAAAAATGTCATATTTTATTTGCAACTATGCAAAAAAAAAAAATTTCTTTTTTTTTAAAAAAATTTCATTTTTTTTTTGAAAAAAAAAAAAAAAAAAAAAAAAAAAAAATCGGTAAAACAGGCTAAATTTTAGATGTGACATTAAATGAATTTTATAAAACAGGCTAAGTACAATTAGTTAAGAAAGTTTAGATTTGTGCAATCATTTGGGACAATTTTCTTACTATTTTTAAAACAAATTTTTAGTACAAAAAATTCTAATTCAAGAAATATTTTACTAAAAAATTACTTTAAAAATCAGTAAAAAAATGGGTCTCAAACCAAGCCGAAGCATTTTCTTTATTGAATTAACTTTGATGTAATATACTCTCAACAAAATGGCTAAATGATTAAGACTTCCTATATATTTTGAAAGTAAGATAAATTTATCAAATTTTAACAAGAGAAATATACCTGTCAAATAACTTCAACCAATTTTGTCTTCTCCTGTGAGCTTCCTCATGAGTTTCATGCTTCATCAAACAGAGTTCTTGTATGTCTTTCTGTAGGACGCCGACGCCGATGATGACGACGGGGACGAATTGCCGAAAAAAAAGACAGAGAAACTGTTGATTTGAGCAATGTAAGAACCATTTCCGATCGACTAGCTAAAGATGTGGAGCAGCGTGGTTGTTACCTCTGAATGCTCGCCGGTGGAAAGCTCTGTATCAAGAAGATTAATTATAGGCATCGATTGATTCGCTGTTGAAGCGCCCAGTTTCAGGGAAGGATTGCAATCGATGATCGGAAACCTTCTGTAAATGTGAATTCTCGCCTGATCTCATGATGGAATCTGGATCAAGAAAAAGGAGCGGAAGGGAGTAAAAGAGCCTCGGCTGGGCGTCGAGCTTACTCTTATCCATCAGAGTCTCCAAAAGAATCGAATCCAGAACGTCAGAAACGTTGCTAATAAGCTCTCTGCTTAGGAAAATATAGAGGAAAAAGAAGATTTTTGTCAGAAGAAAAAAAAAACTGAGAAAGCAGTTCCCCATTCCCGATTTATAGAGGAAAAAAAAAAGTATTCTTCTTGCATAAGTAAAATGATTGTAACGAACAATCCTTTTGTAACGACGTGGACCAATAGGGATAAATTTTGTTATAGGTTTGTTTTAGAGTGAGAAATTTACTGGATGAGTTGTTAAAGAAAAAGAGTGAGGGTTTCTTGGTTCTAATTTAAAAAATATAAGGCGGCTTATCATGATTTATTGATTTAGAGTTTTTATTATTAATTAAGAGATATTTTGAATTTTGTGTATCAAATGAGTGTATGAGTTTGAAGGTCTTTATATATATATTCGCAGCGGTAGAGAAATATAACGTTTAACGTCTTAGCGTTGTACGAAAATCCGGCACGCAATCATATAAGAGAGAGTGTGCGTCACTCATTAGAGACAAAGATTTTTACGTGGAAAACCACTAAAAAGGGAGAAAAATCACGGGGTCTGGCTCAGTATGAATGAATCCACTAGTATTGTAGTTGATTACAAATGAGGTCCTTCCTCAGGGGAAGGCCTTAGCTTGATGTACATCTTATAGAGTACATTACATGGTGAGAATACAAAGTATCACTGTTGATGTGTTTGTTTGGTCTGAATGACTATAGTCGGTGTACGATGTAAGTTGGAAAGACCGTAGTCGGTGGGCGATGAAGGTCGGAAGTCGGCGGGCGATGGAGGTCGGAAGGACCATAGTCGGTGGGCGACATAAGTTTGAAGGACTGTAGTCGGCAGGTGACGGAGGTCGGAAGAACTGTAGTCGGCAGACGACGTAAGTTTGAAGGTCAGTAGTCGGCGGGCGACGGAGGTCGAAAGGACTGTTGTCTAACGACGGAGGTCAGAAGGAAGGCGTCAAGTAGATGTCCATCCATGGACAGAAATCCAATATCGGATAGATTGTCCAGCAAAAATCTGACAACAGGCAAAAGTCCGACGTCAGGTAGAAATTTGACGACGAGTGGAGGTCCGTCGTCAGGTAGAAGCCCGACATCAGTTGGTGGCTGGGGAGAACTCCGACATTATATAGTATTCGAGCAAAATTCCAGAGTCACTTGGAGATCGGGTGGAACTCCGGCATCACTTGGAGGTCGAGCGGAATTCCGGCATCACTTGGAGGTCGAGCGGAATTCCGGCATCAGATGAAATGATGCAATCTATTTCGCAAGAAGAGACTTTGATCAAGAAATTTTAGGTAACAGATGAACTTGCGCATGAAAGCTTTTGATGCACAAATTTACATAAAAATTTTAATAAATTACTATTGATTTTTTTGCACGTGTATCCAAACATGATGATAAACATAATGTGACCAACATAATCATATTCTACAGAATCATGATCAATCTCATACTTTTGATCATTTTCTCTGACTTGATATTATTTAAACCACATATAATGAGCTAAAAAGTGTAGTAGGTTATCCAAAGCCTATAACTAAATTCAAAATACGGTAAATGAGCAATATGCATGTCAACGATCAATTTATAATAATAACGATCATATGATCAAGAATCAGTACAAAAATAATAAAACCTACATATAGTAGTAGCAGAGTCAATAAACAGTAAAATAGTATGGCACGAGAATTAGTAAAACAGTATAGTGTGAAAATCAGGATATGTGTCAAAACCAAAAAGAAGTCGTCATATTAGTATTATCAATTAGTAATAATCTATACTGTAAACAAATTGTATAGATAGGTAAAACCAAAACATCGGTAAAGACTATCGTAAATCATATCAATGTAGTAAACCATGAGATATCAATGTACTAAACCATGAGATATCAATGCAGTAAACTAATAATAATAATCACATTCTATATTAATATCAGTGTAGTATCATAATCACATGCTCAGTATATCACATAATTAGTCAATCTATAAACAATATAGTGAATTAATAATAATAATAACAATAGTAATAATATAACAGTAGCAGCATCGATATTAGTATCAGGGATAGTATCGATATTGTACAATAAATCAACAAACGATATTATCGATAACAATATCCACATCCGTATCGATATCATTAAACCTATATGAGTAACAATAAATTCATATAGTGATAATAAATTAGTAATTAGTGACCAGTAAAGCCTTACATTAATAATGAATTAGTAACATGTATTTTAATAATTATATTAGTCAATTAAGAAGTTTAGACTTAAACAATTTTTTTTAGTATAAGTAACCTATAGTTAGTAACCGTTGGCTCAGTAAATATAGACTTCACTTTTTGCTCGTTGGCACAATAATAACCTCTTATTACTCTCAATCATTTTATTGTTATATCACTGTATTAGTAGAGAATAACATCCACCATAAGATTTAAAGGAAAGCTCGCTATTCTGTACAGGTCAATTAATCTCCAACCAACGGCTGGATTAATTAACTAGTTTTTATTTGTCTTTTACACATATTAATATCATATTTTTAACAGTAATAATGACCAGCTATTACTCAATCACATGTCTATATTCATTCACAATAATTGTATTAAAAATATGATTAAATTAAAATATTTCTATTCAGAAAAAATCATACAAAATTCAAATACTTCTATTTGACCCTGGAAATTAAAAAAATATTACAGTCAAAATCTCTAGCATTTAAAAAGTTACACAATAGAATTTAAATAAATTCATAGAAAATACAATCAATCAAATGGTTGAAATCAAAATCTTAAAAAAAAATAGTAGTAGAATGAGAGTCACCTACTATAATATGAGCAAGCCCTACAAAAACGGCCAAACGATGGTGCTTTGGAGCTCCACGACTCCTATAGCCCATGAGCTTTCTTGAATCTCGAACCACAATCCAACCTCCTTCAAGTAGATGGTGGGGATTTTTTTTGAGATAGGCACTTCCTGTAAGTATAGAAAAAATTTATAAAACTCCATCGAACAACAAATTTGATTATAAATTTGTTGAAAATTAATCTCATATGATCGTAAATTTGAATTTGAAATATTACAATTTAATTATACATCAAAATTCATGTCTAATTAAACTCATTTTTATGATGTATCAAAAATTTTTTCTCCATTTAATCCAATTATTTAATATTTTTAAAAATTTAATAAACCACTAAAATATAATAAAAATAAAATAAGATTTCACTCACAAGTGATTCGATTTTTTTATCAGCAGCTCCCATGGAGCCGGCTACCACTACCGTTAGCCATGCCGCCCAGCTCCACGCACATCTCATCAAAACAGCCCCTCACTCCGACTCCTACCTCGCCAACGCCACTCTCCGCGCCTACTCCAAATCCCCTCACCCTAACCGCGCTCTCCACCTCTTCCTCCATCTCCATTCCCGTCCCTTGGCACCCATCCCCGACCGCTTCACCTTCTCCATTCTCCTCTCCGCTGCCGCCCGCCTCCGTTCCTCCGCCGCAGGTCGCCAGCTCCACGCTGTCCTCCTCAAATCTTCCCTCCACCCTTCCTCCTCCCATCACTCTCTCAACTCTCTCATATCCTTCTACTCCTCCTGCCGCCTCCTCCTCCCCGCCCTCCAGGTGTTCGATGAAATGGTCAAACGAGATGTCGTCTCCTGGACCTCCGCCATAGCTGCCGCTGTCGATGCTGATTTGCCCCGTGATGCGCTTAAACTCTTCGATTCCATGTTGGCTGATGGTATCCCACCCAATGATGCCACGGCTGTTGTCGCACTTAGAGCTTGTGCGGATCTTGGAGCCCTTGCTGCTGGCCAGAGAATCCACCGCATTGCTCGTGTTGAAGGATTCAGTTCCATTCCCAATGTTGCCACTGCTTTGCTTGATATGTATGCAAAATGCGGAAGGATTGAATTTGCGGAGGATATGTTCGATAGAATGCCTGTAAAGGATGTTTTTGCATGGACTGCTATGATTTTTGGCCTGGCGAATCATGGAAGGAGTAGGGAGGCTCTTGATTTGTTTCAAAAGATGGTGGAGATGGGAGTTAGGCCTGATGATCGGACCATTACTGCGGTTCTGGTTGCATGTAGGAGTAAAGGGTGGGTCGCAGAGGGCTATAGAGTTTATAATAATATGCATAAGTTTGGGATGAGGCCGAGGATCCAGCATTACGGTTGCATGGTGGATTTGCTTGCAAGAGCTGGGCATTTAGATGAGGCGGAAGGATTCATCAAGAGGATGCCTATCGAATCCGATGCAGTTCTGTGGAGGACACTAATCTGGGCGTCCAAGTTTCATGGAGATACGGAGCGAGCAGAGCGTTTAATGGAGGAAAGGCCGCTGCTTGAAATGGATTCTTCCGATATCGGAAGTTATGTTCTAATGGGTAATGTTTTTGGTTCTGTTGGGAAATGGGGAAAAAAGGCTGAGGTAAGGGAAACGATGGTAAGGAGAAGAGTTGGGAAGTTGCCTGGGTGCAGCAGGATTGAAGTTAATGGGATGATTCATGAATTTGAGGCAGGGAATAGTGGTCATCCAGATGCGAAAATGATCCATGAAAAGTGGGGCGAGGTTGCTGAGAAATTGAGACAGGAAGGCTATTCCCCAATTGTTTCAGAAGTAATACTTGACATGGAGGATGAAGAGAAGGCCTCACAACTGAATCACCATAGTGAGAAACTTGCTCTGGCATTTGGGTTGATTAATAAAAGCCCAGGGGAGGAAATCTTGATTGTGAAGAACCTGAGATCTTGCCAGGATTGTCACTCAGCAATGAAAGTAATATCAAGGGTATATGATAGAAAGATAACCATTAGGGATAGAATAAAGTTCCATCATTTCAGTAATGGATTCTGTTCATGTGGCGATTACTGGTAACAACTGCTTTTGGATTGTGGATTGATTTGTGCTGCTGTATAAAAAAACGTGGAGGTCAATTTATTCTTTAAATATCATTTCTGTGTACTAAAACGTCAAAGGATATTGTTAAATACTCAAAGTATTTATTTACGAGAAAATGATTGAATTGATCCTATAATTTTTTTCGGAAGGATCAAAATAATCCCGACTATATAGGATATGAATTTGATCTCGACTTTTTAAATATGATCAAATTAGTTTTTTCGTGGGATCATTTAGCACACTATTGAAAAAGTCAAAGGCTAAAATTAGACTTTTAAATAGTTGATTATTTTAATTGTTCATGAAGAGTTAAAGACTATTTTGATCCTGTCTCATTTACTTTTCAAGCCAACATTGATCTCATTTACTTTTCAAGCCAACATTGATAAGTACTCCTGGAATCTAAAGCCAAGATGAGGACTTCTCTCTGTTGAACCCAACGACTACTAAAATTTAACCAGCAGGTATCTAATTCTTGTTTGATAACACTCTGATAATGATAAGAATAAAAAGGAATCATTATTTCTTATCCTAGAAGGTAATCACTTGCTAAAATTGGAGAAAGAAGAAACCTACCTCGCTCTCGCGTGAAGCCCGACCGTCCGCCCTCTCTGTTTCGCGAACTGCTTCTGTTCCGCGCCCCTTTCTATTCGAGGAATTATAAGGAGTGGGCCGGCCGGTTCGGTTGAACCGGCCGGATGAACCGGTTGTCGCATATTGAGTTGGTTGGAATTTGTATTTATATGTCAATATTGTTATCCTATTTCTAACGGTTCCATGTTCATCTTTGAAGGCTGGTTTTTTCATGTTAGGCCTTGATTGGTGGCCTCTTTGGTTACTTGAGGGCAGCCGATCCATTCGGATTTCCTTATTTCCTCTGTTGGTATGTCTAATAAGTTTGTTAAGCTTGGCTTTTCGGTTTCAGTTGGTCGATGGCCTTAATTCTGTACTGTAGCTTGGGTGACAATTGTAGTTGGTTTATGGTTTCCTCCTTGCGAGACTATAGCTAAGCTACAAGTCTCGCTGCTAAAGTGTTATCCTCTTTGCAGCTGTTTTTCCTTTGGACTTTTGAATTCTCCTTTGGCAGTCTCTTCTTTCTGCTGTTATTTATAGTTTATAATGTTTGGTTATCTGTAAAATAAATGTAAGAGAATTGTTTTTACTGTTTAGTTGGGTGTATGTAGAGTAAAGTAAAATAAGAACTCTTTATCTTTCTTCTTCTTTTTATATTTGGTTATTGTTGAAGGAGTTACTGAATTTTGTTAGATATACTAAAATATGATTTCTTTTCTTTTGCATGAAATTTTAGTTAATTTGTGTGGCTTTAAGTTTTCTTACATTAATTTTATTAGAAAGTCAAAGGCTTTTTATTTGAATAAGATCTTATCATTTTTAATTTTTGTCAAAAATAGTAACTAGTTGTTTTAAGAATAATAGCTTATTTTTTAACAAAAATTCACACGTTTGTTGCATTGCTTGATTGTTTTTAAATTTACATTGCATATTAGTTACAAATTCTTGATCCTAAATGTTGTATTTTAATGTATGTTTCATTAAGGATCTTAAGAAAATGTTCAACTGTTATTTAAAATATTAGTTATCAAGAATAGTAGATGAGCATTTTATGTAGCTTTAGAATTTGAAAGATATAATGGATACCCTTTTGGTAGGACTACAACATCCTACTTGATAACTTTAAGGTAAAAGAATAAAAAGCATCAGTCCTTACCCAACTTTGTCTGTGGTCCTTACAACCACATGAGGCATTACATCTTCGTAATTGAGATGCATCTTTTAGTTCTTTCATTCGTTGTGCTTTGATATGTGCTTGTCTATGGCATAATAGAGATTTTATTGTTCTTCTCTCTCCTTTTCTTTTAAAATGTTATTTTGCTAAGGGAAAATTTTATAGGTGTCCTCATACTTGTTTGTACTCTGTTTATTTTAGTAATCCAAAATGCGCTACATATTGGACATGCCATCTACATTTTCAATTAAAGGCAATAAAATAAATTACCAAATGCACATGTACTAAATAGCAAATTTAACTTTAAAAGTATATTACATCTATAACTTAATTTATGCCAATCCTTCTCTTTTTGCTTTAAAATATATTACTTAAATAGCTTAATAGTTACTTAACATTAATTATATATTTTTTTTATTTTGCTCTATTTTCTTATGACTTTTTATATTAATGTTTTATTTAAAAAAATTAAAAATTTCAACTTCAACCTCAAAATCTATAGTATCATGTAGATTTTTTCTTCAATTGAGTTTAAAATATTTAATAAATTTTAACATATTTTATTTTACAAGCTGTTGAAATAAATTTATTATTATATGAGTTAGTTCCATATTATTTAATTTGTTTAGCTTTCATATAGTTTGCTAATTTTTAAGATATAATATTATAATGTTGTGTTAATTGTTTGTTCATGTTCTATATTTTCAATAACAAACATATTTTGTATCCCTGCCTTATCATATATATGTCCCTGTGTCAGTATCGATGCATTATAGCTTATTTCTTTTCTTCTTTTTTTTTTCATTTTATTCTTTTTTTTTTCTTCTTGATAGCTTTTTTTATTGTTATTTGCTAAATGCAAAATTTAATGTTGTCAGGCCTCCTATAATTTTGTTTTCTTCCTTTTGTGGCTTTTGCAATTTTTAACATTTGTGTTATTAATTTCTAGTAGAAAGGAAAAAAATTGTCAGAATTGGATCCTATCATCCTACCGTTATTATTTTCATCAAATTGGTTTGAGGTCAAGAACTTACATTTGTATGAAAATTACTTTTGTATAACTGAGTCATGCTTAAATTCTCACATTTATAAATTAAATTTATTTTAACCACATAGGACTAGCAGGCATAGTTTCTGTTCATTTCTTCAATATTTATTGTTCGGTTAAAAAACTGTTTGAACTCCTGTTTTTTGTTGTCCATCAAACGGAGTAATGTTGCTGTTTTACATTGCGAAGAACCACTATGAAGTGATGGAACTTCTGAAGGTAGCATGTTGCAGGCTGTACTAACATATTTATTTCATTGAAAGGGCGATCTTTATCTAATTGATTGAATTTTGCTTATGCAGGCTACAGGCCTTTGATTCATCTGCTCCAAAATAATTGTTCATATATGAATATGGTTCAGTTTGCCTGGTAACTTCCTACGTTTCACAGAGGACAATATTAAAAAAAGCACCTTTCTAATTTTTGGTTCAAATTTGACCCTGAAGCTGTCTCTCTCGAATTTTTCCTTTGTAATTTTACTTTAGCTGTTTCCAAAGTGGTAGTTTAGCAAGCTATCTTGGTAACAGGAGCACGTTTAGAAATCTATCTTATTAGAGATTCTCTTGATAGGAGGGAGATCGAGCGACCAGTAAAACAAATGTCCAATGTAAGTAGTTGGAAGGTGCCAAATGTCAGATTTTGGTGGGTGCTATGAGTCTGTCGACAAAGAAAGTAAAAATCAAGAGACTGAGTTGTTTACTATGTCATTATCCTGACATAAGGGGAGATCATGCATTCGACTTAGTTATTCTCCTCATAAAAGAGGAGACAAGTGGGTGAACGTAGGCCATTAGCAATCATCAAGGTTTGATATGATTGTTATCCAACTTATCCTGATAGTAAGAGAGATTGCGCTATCATGTGGATGGGTGTCAGAAGTTGGTGGCAGCAAAACTCTTGAATTTTCTTTGAATCCCCAATTTCTCTCCATTAAAAATTTTCTATTGAATGTGTAGAAATAAGATTTTTTCATAGATTTCGTGACAGATTATTCTAATCATTTCTATCATAATCTAAGACACTGCATTTTATATTGTTAATAGATCCCTCTTGTCTCTTTTGTGTCTTCTGAACTTCAGTTCCTTAACAATTTCTAAATTGTACCATCTTGGACTCATTGAATTTATTTTTATCAAGACGCTTTCTATACTGTAAGCACACAAAATTTAAAGGATGCTTGACACTTCAAATGGTTTTGGGATATTTTTAATTATGTTTATAAGTGATTGATTATGCCATTTAGACTCAGATTTAGATGTAGTGTGGGATGGGTGACTTAGTTTTTTTTTTTTTTTCATGAAAGTAATTACATCATAGATTCTAAGCTAAATTTTTCATTGAAATACTTGTGACTAACTTGGCGTGCTCAGTTCCCTGTTTGACGTATTTTATCCTAAGATATGTATCTACGTTCTCAAAAAATTAATGGTGATGGTAAAGGTCTTTGAAAGCAAAATCAAAATATCGTTTAATAATATATGTTTATTTAGGAATTTAGTAAACTTTGTAATCCCAATCATAGTTGGGGGGTATCTTTTATGACTAAAAAGCTATGCTTACAGCACTAAGAAAAGAAGCTAAGGAAAGGAAAAAAGCAAAACGCTAGTTATTGGGAATAATATGGCCTTTTATATTGCTTTCATTAATATTACAGGGGCAAAAATTAGGAATTTGAGGGCATTGTTGATCACTATGTTCCTTTAGATATAAATGCTTAAATTGAAGCATTTTATTACACATCAAATCATGGCGTCTTTTGATATTACTGTTTAAGATACATTTATGATGAGATATGCACTCATATTTAGGCTTTTTTTGGGACGACTTTCTTACTACTTGTTAAAGCAGATTTTTAGTATGAAAGTTTTAATTTTGTATTAAAAAACTATTTTAAGAAGCAGTAAGAAAGTTGTTTCAAACGAAGCCAAGTTAATCAAATAATTATGAAATTTTGAACGAATTTCATCAAGTCGTTGAATGTGAACCAGTTTGAATCTTTTATGAATCGGACTTCGCCAAAAGAAATAGATAGACCTTCAGAAACCCATAAAATCTTGTTTAAATAAAGAATAACAAAAATCAAAGAACCAGACCATGATGCTTTGTCAATTTGTCCAGCACTATAGTGATATTTTATCCCATGTTGAACACTGTTCATTGCTTTCTATCTGCATATTATAAAGCAAATGTATATGCGTGCTTATATTGCAACACTATAGTTATCCTCATTAGATAAAAAGTTCCCTGTGACAGTTTTATCATTTATTAATACAATTTCTTCTAAACTTTTATTGATTCTTTTCCTGATGGTGAGAATTTAGTGGAACTTAGATTTTGA